TATATATATATATATATATATATATATATATATATATATATATATATATATATATATATATATATATATATATATATATATATATATATATATATATATATATATATATATATATATATATGCATTTGTATATGTATATTGTAACCCATACTGGCATGCACTTTCTATACATGAATAACGAATGCGGATTGGTACTTACCGGATGCCCTGTATTGAGCGTTGCAGCACAGACAGTCTATGTCCTCAGAAACACCCGGTAAGGGTAGAATAGTGCCGCATTGTAAGCAAAAAGGTGGGTTAGAAAGCTTTATTGTACCGAATTGGACCATCGTGACACCTGTAATATTAACCACCGTGGAGTTGGTATGGTACGCTCTTATTAGCAGTAAAAACACACAATATGTGAGAGGAATATAGAAGATAATCAAAGTAGAACATGATAAAGGGCAGATATACGCTTGGGTTTTAAATGCAGGGTTTTAAATCCATGTGTAGTATAGTTCTATTTATACATTCGAGCGGTGAGGTACAAATGCCTTTCTGACTCTATTCTGTAAAGGATAAATATTTAATTATCAAGCGAAGTGCGTAGTCAATCGATGTTCACAGCGATTACACACTATTCGACATGTCAGGCAGAGAAGGTGGGTACTTGCGTCTACTACAATGTGTGGTGATATGACAACGCTTTTAAGTCTATGTATAGTGCAAAGGTGTGTCTGTGCACGTGATCAGACAATAAGATGTGTTGTCGGTTGTGCTACACCATTGATGTAGCATTAGCTCTAAGCAATTGCTTACGATATGTATTTGGTTGCACAATTATACGCGATTACTCTCCTTTATAATAGACCGTTTAAAAAAAGTTTGCATCTAAGCGATGGTACAGAGAGCACTGCTCTACGTAAATAGATGTCTTTCGAAGAATATATCTGGTAATAAATTTGTTTCTGAGAATTCATTGTGCTTATGATATATAAATACACACATACATATATATATATATATATATATATATATATATATATATATACGTACACACATACAAATACACACCCACACACACAAACACACACACACATATTTATATATATATATAGTTCAAATATATATATAAATATATATTATATATATATTTATATATATATATATAAAATATATGCACTTATATATATATATATATATATATATATATATATATATATATACGCACATATATATATGTATATATGTGTGCCTTTGTTTATTTATATATATATAATAATATATATATATATATATATATATATATGTATGTTTATATATATATATATGTATATATTTACATTTGTATATGTATATATATACATACATGCATATATACATATATATATATCCATATGTATATATATACATATATATATATATATCCATATTTATATATAGATAGATATATATATTCATTCATTTAAAAAAAAATTCTAAAAACGAATACATAATTTTTTACATGTATATTTCATATGAGAATCTAGCACTTTTTTTATATTGTATATATATATATATATATACGTTTATGTTTATTTAGATATATATGTATATGTTTATATATATCCATATACATATATATATATATTATGACACGACTATATTGAGACGTCCGTCTCTATAGTTGTTTTAGTGTGTTCTGGGTCACATCTTTGCATATATGCTTACATACTATTTTGTGTATACAGTATCGATAATGAATATGTATGGAATGATGGAATCACGAACGTAAAGTATAAATACTTTTCCGATTACGTTTTCTAGTTTATATGCTTATATCCATATTATGTCCCAAGTGTTGGCCCATAAAATCCTGACATCAAGAGCTTGCAGAACCTGGGCGTCCGCTAGCATGCGTCGTCTATCGGTCGTTGAGGCATATTCCAATCGTTAGTAGTCTCCGAATATCTCTTAAAGTGCACCGGACTGACTGCCTGTACTATGTAAAGTAGTGTATTCAAACATTTCACAAGTGTTTAGTATGTACCCTTTTTCCGTTAGATCAGCCGTTCTATCTCCACCCCTACATTAGTAGTGAACCAGCTATACGTTAGTGATACATCCCTACATTAATTCTATCTCCACCCCAACATTAGTTCGCTTCTGTAGTGAAGTACAGGTCTTCACTCGCGCAGGAGCTGTGCAACCCCTCTCTACCACCTCACCCCCCTAATAGTCTGTGGAGTTGTTGTATTGAACCCTTTTATCTACTTTTTTCCAATTAAGGTGGTAAGAAAAAGCCCTTAAAGGCTAAGAAAAAGTCCGGAGGTGATCTCGATGACGTAGATCTTGAATTCAAGGCCAAGCAGAAAGCGGTAAGTCACGTCATAGTGTTGCATGCACTATGACAATGTCATTGTGTTGTATGCACTATGACTATGTCATTGTGTTGTATGCACTGACTATGTCATAGTGTCGCACATCCAATGCACACACAACGACTTGAGTATTGTAGCACGAAGTTACGTCTATTTCTCCTGTGTGTTTGCCACCCTTGTCGCCTGTTGTTGGTAGTGTATTGATTAAGCCATCCACATTTTTTGTGTGTGCGTCTGCTGGACTGAATTTAGTTTCTATATTGTGATATCAGTTGGCATTGGTTTTTGAAAAGCTCATCAGCCGTATGTTAGTATATGCTACTTCATATCCAAGTATCTACTTCCAACCAACACTGTTCATGCTGCGCCACTCTATTTTACTATTCAGTGATTGTCAGATACATCGCCTATGTAATCATGTATACATGTCATGGGCATTTTGATGCGAGTCTTAAAGTTCTATACTTTGCAAGTCTCAATATCGGACAATTATATCCATGTACTCACAGGCTAAGGCTGCCGAGGCGGAAGCCCGCAAAAAGATGCTCGGAGGCAAGAAGAAGTAGATTGCCATTTGAATGAACTCTTCCTTACATGGAAGTAGCCGTCACCCGAGTCTATAAACATCCCGAATTCGAAATAGCGGTCTACAGAGTATTGCGGTAGCTACGACTATGTGTGCGCTGGGCGAATTGCCGTTAGTCGCTTGGGCGAGAATTGTCCGTATGGACGGACATCACTGGCTGGAATGTGGACGGTATGCTAATTGCGCTTAATCAGAATATATCACTATAAAAGAAGTCAAGTATAATTTATTATTCATATATACGTCTCTGGCATTTGAATCATATCCTCATAAGGAATCACTATAAAAGCAGGCAAGTACAATTTATTATTCATATATACGTCTCTGGCATTTCAACCATATCTTCATAAGGAATCACTATAAAAACAGTCAAGTATAATTTATTAGTCATTTGCACGTCTCTGTCATTGGAATCTTATCCTCATAAGGAATCATTGTAAAAGCAGTCAAGTATAATTTATAAGGAATCACTATAAAAGCAGTCAAGTTAATTTATTATTCATATATACGTCTCTGGCATTTGAATCATATCCTCATAAGGAATCACTATAAAAGCAGTCAAGTATAATTTATTATTCATATATACGTCTCTGGCATTTGAATCATATCCTCACAAGGTACCACTATAAAAGCAGTCAAGTATGATTTATTATTCATTTGTACGTCTCTCTCATTTGAGCCATGTCCCCATAAGGATTAGGTAGCTTGCCAGTAAATATTTTGGGTATGACCATTCCATGTACACCCACACCCACACACAGAGGCGTATGATGTGTGTGCACTGGGCAATTACAGTTGCACGGGCACAGTTTGCACTTCTAGTACATAACAGTTGTCGACCTTTGTGCACATATCGATATGCTTTGACTTCACCGATGATATTGAATACACTCGGGACGTCGAGTAGGTTGCTTGTAGTTTCTTTCATTGCTCTGAGTCAATAACTGTGGCGTTGGCCACAAATGGCACACCCAAGTACTCCAAGGCCAACTGAACTGTGTTGTGGGCTGACACTGCAGAACACTCCATGCAGGAGATGATCGTCTCAAACGCTGCAGAAGCACAAGGGGTGAGCGTATTGTACGTAAACCAGAAGGTTAACCACCACAACAGCACAAGGGGTGAGGGTATTGTACGTAAACCAGGAGGTTAACCGCCACCACAGCACAAAGGGTGAGGGTACTGTGCGTAAACCAGAAGGTTAAAAAGCCAAGGGACGGTTACCAGCCGATGCCTTTGACAGCTGCTCGTTCTGAGTTTCTGTACACACCATACGTACGATGTACCAAAGGAGGATGACACGAGTCACAGTGAGCCACGGCACACACGCCATGACAGAACACACTGCAGGTGAGCGCAAGGAAGTCGCATCAGAGCACTTGTATTGGCTGGGGAATTGCGATAGACAACAGCTAACTAACAGTATGTGTAACATACCACGACCACAGCAGCAGACAGTCAGTACTGTGGGATGGGCTGCATCGTGCAGCCGCAATGAACTACATCATATGCATAGTACAGGTGCGCTTTACGAGCCAGCTTTCTAGTGAGCTGTCGTCAAGCTGCAGCCCAATAGAACACTTAATCATGTGCATGCAAACTGTCGGTCAGTGTCAAAAAACATGCCACATACCATTGATGTAGAATACGCCCGTTGCCGGTTGCACTGGAGGTAGTCTCGGTGTTGGGTGCAATACCGGGTATGCATGCGACCACGTGTGTCTGAAGACGTCACTTGTACTTAAGAATATCTGCACAGGCCAAAGGCATAGCCAATGTATTCGATTATTTGTCGATGATCTCTACGTATACATTGGTAACACGCGTGTTTGAAGACATCGGATGCGCCTCCAGGAACAATAAAATAGGGCAAAGGTATTGTAATGTTCTCGAATAGCTGCTGCTAGTTAACCGTGCGTGGCCAATCTATTCCACGTGTGTGTGTGAAGGCATGGAATAGCTAACACTAATCTGGCTGGTGAACACTTAACACTGGCGTGTCTGAAGTAGTGGTCTCTAAAAAAACCCCCAACTCAGCGCAAGTCTTATCGAATGGTTGCCAAGAGTTACAAAATGTTTTGGAATAGCTGCCAGTGATCTGCACGTACACAGTCGCCTGAGTTATCCGACGTGTGTAGGCAAGAACATCTGCACAGCACAAGGCGTATGAGATGTGATTGAATCGCTGGCAGTCTACGCACAAAGTCAATTGTGGACCCTTGTCCATCGATGGGCTTCTCCACTGTTAAGGTCTTCAATGACACACACATGCTTTGAGCGACAGTGGATTTCCAGAGCAAAAAATGTCATCAATCACCTGTATGATACCCTATATCTACTTTCTTGGCTCTGCATGGATCCTCAGCACAGCAGAGCCATATATGTGTGTATTTATGTGTATGTGTATGTGTATGTGTAGGTGTAGGTGTATTTTGTTTATGTATGTGTATGTGTATGTGTATGTGTATGTGTATGTGTATGTGTATGTGTATGTGTATGTGTATGTGTATGTGTATGTGTAAGTGTATGTGTATGTGTATGTGTATGTGTATGCGTATGTGTATGTGTAAGTGTATGTATTTATGTATGATTATTCAATTATGTACCTGTATGATAAAATGCGGGTCTACAAACTCAACTACTGATCGATACTCCAGGACCACTCGTTATAATACGTCTGAGAATAGACCACACAGTCAGACATATAGCGTAGACCTCAGACTATCTGACCACCGCACAAGTTAGCGTAGGAGTGGGTTGTTCCCATTTGCTACATACCACACACTCTCGATGCTCACTATTGTATGCTTCGTTGAGTGGTTTGTTGAGTACCTGTAGTTCTTTGCGTGATTTCGCATAGGCAGATAAACATCTGATCCAGCGTGTAACAATAGACGGTACACACACAGATATAAAACCTTAAACCCTACAGAATAGACGCAGAGTACTGAATATGTACTTTAAAACTGTAACGTACTATAGCACCAAATTACATCCGTGGAAGCAGTGTTGTGGCTCTGGTTGTCACATTCGCCTCACTGAGGGAGAGTACAGGAGCCTATACACTCAAACTGTAACGTTTCATAACACCACACTACATCCGTGGAAGCAATGTACTCAGCATCTGCGGTGTGGCTCTGGTTGTGACCCTCACCTGATTGAGTGTGTCATATGGAATGGCTGTGCGAGAGAACAGTTTGTAGACTGCCGTTGCATCGCTGTCTGATGTTGTGGCTGTGCTCTTAACTCTTCCGAGTTTGCTGATACTCGAGAAATCCTGCACCACAGCCAACCAATCAATTGAGAGGAAAAACAAGTCAGCCAACCAATCAATTGAGAGGAACAACAAGTCAGCCAACCAATCAATTGAGAGGAACAACAAGTCAGCCAACCAATCAATTGAGAGGAACAACAAGTCAGCCAACCAATCAATTGAGAGGAACAACAAGTCAGCCAACCAATCAATTCAGAGGAAAAACATGTCAGCGTAGGCTGCATGGCTCCGGACGTGAAGGAGCTCAGGAAGCAAACAGCAAGCCATGATGAAGACGTACTTTTGTACATACAGATGAATGTGTGGACTACATTACTGTTGTACATACAGATGAATGTGTGGACTACATTACTGTTGTACATACAGATGAATGTGTGGACTATATATACTGCTGTATATACAGATGAATGTGTGGACTATATATACTATATATACTGTTGTACATACAGATGAATGCGTGGACTATATATACTGCTGTACATACAGATGAATGTGTGGACTATATATACTATATATACTGTTGTACATACAGATGAATGTGTGGATTATATATACTGTTGTGCATACAGATGAATGTGTGGACTATATATACTGTTGTACATACTGATGAATGTGTGGACTATATATACTGTTGTACATACAGATGAATGTGTGGACTATATATACTATATATGCTGTTGTACATACAGATGAAGGCGTAGACTATAAAGATTCCATCTGAACTTGTGCACATGCATATGCGTGTACATCTCATTGTTTCGCATGTTGAGTATAACTTCATTTTGGTACATTTTAATTTGAGTATGATTTACTTTAGAGTATGTTTTAATTTATGTCTCGATGAGAGAGTTGTTTAGGTTCTAGCTCTGTATATCATTTGTACAAACACCCATTTATACGCCAAATTACGCGCTGAAAAGAAATACAGTGATGCGCACATACAGTACATCTATGTTGTACAGGTTATCACCTTATAGTACATTTATTTTGTACTGGCTACCACCTTACAGTACATCTATGTTGTACTGGCTACTACCTTATAGTACATCTATGTTGTACTGGCTACCACCTTATAGTACATCTATGTTGTACTGGCTACCACCTAATAGTACATCTATGTTGTACTGGCTACCACCTTATAGTACATCCATGTTGTACTGGCTACCACCTTATAGTACATCTATGTTGTACTGGCTACCACCTAATAGTACATCTATGTTGTACTGGCTACCACCTTATAGTACATCTATGTTGTACTGGCTACCACCTTATAGTACATCTGCTGTCAACTAATTTGTCATGGAGCACAGGGAACGAATAAGAACAGTAAACAAACAAAACCGTTTACAGGCGCACGGACCTGTCCCTTAGGCCTACAAACACCTGAATACAAACTACAACCATAGACAAGAACATCAATGCCATATAACTACACAATGCATGTGCGAACTACAAACAATGGATGTATATTAATAAACTGCAAACTATGGATGCATATTAAATGTACAAACGATGAATGCATATTAATAAACTACAAACAATGGACCTATATATTAATAAACTACAAACAATGTATGTATATTAAAAAACTACAAACAATGTATGTATATTGATCTGTATACGAAATGTCAATGTAGACACAGACACACTGCTGTGCCAGTTGGTGATGCTAGTTTTGCTTGTCGACATACTTGGTGCGCAACGGACTCAGTGGTGAATATATCGTCTGGCAGCTGAAGGGAAGGGAAGGGAAGGAGGGCATTGAAGATATTGAAGATATTGAATGTATTGAATATATTGAATATATTGAATATATTGAAGATATTGAATGTATTAAATATATTGAATATATTGAATATATTGAAGATATTGAATGTATTAAATATATTGAACATATTGAATATACATGGGGAGAAAAATTGGGTGGGTTTAGAAATAGAACATATGGAATATATGAGGGAAATGATTGCGGCATGGAAACTCGAGATAGATCTAAACGAACGTTAGCACAGTAAACATCCGATGATACGTTTGGCTTTCATAAGCAGCGACGCCCGATAGACACCTTATACATCCTCAAATGCAAACAAACCCAAACAATAACATACTCGAAATAAAACAAACTCAAATGGAAGCAAACCGAAATTAAACCATATCGAAATTGAATCATACTCGAATTAAAACCTACTCAAACTAAATCATACTCAAATTGCAACATACCGAAATTAAAACAGACTCAAATTAAAACTTACTTAAATTCAAACATGCACAAACCAAAACATACTAAAATTAAAACAAAATCAAAGTAAAACATACTCAATTTGAAACACACTCCAAATAAAACATACTGATTGCCCTGGGTCTTCGCCAAAGTACACCGGGTTGATAGTGCCGGCCACGAGTGTTGTGTGTGTGGTCCTGAACGGCCGCTCATGGACATCCTCAGATGTGGCATCAGCCGGTTCATCTGGTGAAACGATACCGTCAACCAAACGAATCAGTTTATAGATAACTGGAAGCAAGGGCAAACATACTGTCTGCTTAGTCTACATACTGCTTTTAGGGTTTCTAAAACCCTAAAACCCTAAAAAAATCCGTGTATATATTGATTAGCGTACATATTGGCGGGTATATAAACCCTTCGATAAACCAAACGAATCAGTTTATAGATGACTGGAAGCAAGGGCAAACATACTGTCTGCTTAGCGTATATACTGCTCAGTGTGTATATTGATTAGCGTACATAATGGTGGGTGTATAAACACTTCGATGGATGTATACAGTGAGTGGGATCGAGGGAACGCCACCTATTATAGAAAGGCAAAATATATCTACCTTTGCCTCAAAGAGAAACACATCAGCCTCAACGAGGTTGTGGAAAGAGAACCCCCATGTTGACTCGCACGTATACAGAACTTCATATCAACCAAACAGCACACGATGAATGGACAAGGCCAATGCGGTTTAGCACAGGAACTGGTGTGTATCTCAGACAACTCACCAGAGCGACTGTAGTCGTGTGGTATGTCCATGTGTGCGTTCTCCAACGGCGTGGCTATAATCACAGCATCATACATCGACTCCTCTCCGGCTGTGGTGAATGTCAGTAGACCAATGAATATACTACAGACACACTGACACACGAGTACAGAGCTGTTGCCCCTTCTGTGGGCGTATAACGCGAGACATGTGCCTTTGGGCTGATACGATGGCGAATGGATTAAATTAATTTAAATTATTTAAATACAAATCTATGTGCACATCCTGATTTAAATACAAATCTATGTGCACATCCTGATTTAAATACAAATCTATGTGCACATCCTGATTCAAATACAAATCTATGTGCACATCCTAATTTAAATACTAATCTATGTACACATCCTGATTTAAATACAAATCTATGTGCACATCCTGATTTAAATACAAATATATGTGCACATCCTGTGAAGTCTAGTGCCGTGCACCGCTGCACTATCTGAGACGAGAGAGCACTCGAACGATAACACACGCGATTAACCATTTGATACACCACCTGAGACAAGTACGGACGCTTCTGCAGAGGTATACATATATACCCCACCACACATGGCCACTGAAAAAATCACCCATCAATGCAACAACAACACACACCACTCCCACCCATCAATGCGACAACAACACACATCACTCCCACCCATCAATGCAACAGCAACACACATCACTCCCACCCATCAATGCAACAACAACACACATCACTCCCACCCATCAATGCAACAACAACACACATCACTCCCACCCACCTGCGGTTGTGATGCAGAGACTGTCACTGTCCACTCCACAGTGGCGCACAGTAGTCACGGGTGTGTTCAGTCTCACCTTGTCAATACAAGTCATGTCGCAAATGTGAGTCATATACGCCATGTCGCAAATGTGAGTCATATACGTCATGTCGCAAATGTGAGTCATATGCGCCATGTCGCAAATGTGAGTCATATACGCCATGTCGCACACTATCTGCAGGTGAAACCAACACCAGCAAGCCAAGTGCCCGAAAACCACATTTGGACTTGTTTAACCACCCTCCTCCGCATTCCACAGATAACACAATAAGACACAATCACTACTGTCCCACAAACACGGAGATAACAAAACCAAATACAAAGCACTTAATCGATATGAAACCGTAATACATTCACGCTGTATACATTATGTACATAAGATAAATACGCACAACATACGGATTATTGTCAAAGACGACGTAAAATTCGCCTTTCGCACGCGGAATTGTACCTCTGTTTTAGATGAGCGCAGAATATGTTCTGCAACCTGCCGATTGCCACCTTTGACTGTTGTGTAGGGCAGAGAAAAGTTATACACACATATATATATATATATATATATATATATATATATATGAGTGTCTTGAGTATACGCAATTTTTTTTGCGAATGTGTGTGTATCCGTGTCCATGAGTGGGCATGTAAATACGTACGTGTTAGTGTGTATATGCATGCCGTAGTAGGGAGGATGTCTATATGTGTACGAGTACTATGCTCAGATATATGAGTATGTGTATCCGTGCACAGAGTTTGCCGCTTACTCAATCTCAATGGCAGCCGATGACAGTCCCACCGAGTGCGTGGGCAATCTCTCCTTCCCAAAGTGTTGCGCCCAACACAACACCATGCACATGGCTTTGTACGTACGCAGGCATGTGTGAGACCACAGTGCACATATGTACCTACCAGAGTACAGATTGGAGTCACTTCCAATGGCAGAGACCAACAGACCCAGCGTATGCATGGACAGGTTCTGTCCGTATGTGTTGCGAACTATTCCAGTCAAGATCTCATCGGCGTACGTCTTTGAGATGCCTTGCCCAGGCAGCCACTCCTGCGCCATGGTCTAGTGCAGAGAGTAGGCACAGTAAAGTAGGTTTAGTAGTAGAGAAGAGTAGGTACAGTATAGTAGGAACAGTACAGTACAGTATAGTAAGTACACTAAAGTAGGTACAGTACAGTACAGTAAGTACACTAGAGTAGGTACGGTACAGTACAGTAAGTACACTAAAGTAGGTACAGTACAGTACAGTAAGTGCACCAAAGTAGGTACAGTACAGTACAGTAAGTACACTAAAGTAGTAGAGTAGGCAAAATAGTGTACCACAAATTGCTCAGTTTACGGCAAAGTACTTAGTATACCACAATGTCGTACATCTCCGACCTGATTCGGCGCGAATATGTCCAACATCTTCGTAGTAATACTCACATCGAGCATGTGTCTTGATATCTACTTGAACTGGAGGCCATTTCTGTGCCATGGTCTGATACAGCAGAATATGTGACAATTACCAAGATCTTGTGCTCTAAAAATAGATTGGTCGAGTACGCGATCACGTTTTGAATACGTATGACACTCCAGACACGCACGTGGCTATGGAGTCAATGTGGGGATAGAAAGAGAGTGTGCGATTAAGAAGTGTCTCATCGACAGTTCACTCTCAATTTACGACACCGTTTATACATTTGAATTGATCAATTTACAACACCGATTATACAATTGGTGCATATTAGAGACGTTAACTTTCTCTGCGCCGAATTCACTACACGATTTTACATCGCAAGAAATGTGACAATGCCGGATCTAAGAGTAGAAGCTTGCTCGATGTGTGTGCAGTGCTCTTCAGCTTAATAGCTTGTATGATGTAGGGGTGGATAGGAGTGCTCTTGTCGGCATAGTGTTGGAGATGCCTTGAACCATTAATTGCTGCAGATTTAGACTTTTTACTTGCCCCCCCCCCCCCGGGTTTTATGACGACATCTTGCTCTATAAACGACATACAATTCAAGGTCGCAAACTATTTAGTATACGAATTGGGACAAGCTCATCAGCACATGTGTCGAACATAGGTAATTTAGCACATGCTGCGTAGTTAACGGATAGACGACCATTCTGTATTTCGTACGGCATCGGAATCGCAAACATCGAGTACACTCATGTCTAGTGAGTGAGCAACGGCACAAGCGATGTAGATAACCAAGGCTACTTACGCTTCTAAGCATGTCAATAAAAACGGTGCACGTCTCGATAAGCGAACGGTTCGTATAGCGCAAGTGGTAAGACTCTCTGAGGCAAACGCGGTAGGGCTACCATGACCTAGTTAAGACATCATTGTTAACGGTATCATGAAGAATGACCGCGTTCGTACAGCGCAAGTGGTAAGGACTCTCTGAGACAAACGCGGTAGGGCTACCATGACCTAGTTAAGACATCATTGTTAACGGTACCATAAACGATTTATCGTATTCTGCGTTTAGTCGGACAAGCTCAGCTAGTCAGTCAGTGAGTAAGTTCAGTGCGTGTGCGTGCATTCAAGCAACAAATTCAGTTGCAACAAGGCGGTATAAACCTGAGGATGACAACTCAGCCCACGATCACGCCAACGAGGATCGTACGAAAGCGTTGCACGCTGACGCATATGGGACTTTCATCATCGTATGACGGACAGTGAGCGTACGATGCAGAGCATACGACACCCTGTAGGTAGACGCTGCCAGAGCATACGACACCCTGTAGGTAGACGCTACCAGAGCGTACGACACCCTGTAGGTAGACGCTACCAGTGCGTACGACACCCTGTACGTAGACGCTACCAGAGCATACGACACCCTGTAGGTAGACGCCACCAGAGCATACGACACCCTGTACATAGACGCTACCAGAGCGTACGACACCCTGTAGGTAGACGCTACCAGAGCATACGACACCCTGTACGTAGACGCTACTAGAGCATACGACACCCTGTAGGTAGACGCTACCAGCGCATTTGCAGGCTACAACCTACCCAGCCACATCTAATCATCACACGTTTTGCTAAACAAAAGGAAATGGACAGGAAGGCGTGTAACACAAGTACATACGACATGTAATCTGACAATTGCATGTACATGTATGTACGACGGGGTGATACCAGTGAAAGGTGTGCCTGCACCATCATTCCCGTGGTAACTGCGATGCTTGAGATCGCTATGCGGAAATACAGTAGAATCTATACACTGACAAGGTATTGTACGGGAACACCTATACACTGACAAGGGATTCTACAGGAACACCTATACACTGACAAGGGATTCTACGGGAGCACCTATACATTGACAAGGGATTCTACGGAAACACCTATACATTGACAAGGGATTCTACGGGAACACCTATACATTGACAAGGGATTCTACAGGAACACCTACACACTGACATAAGTTAATATTACTGGAGCAATGATACGGCTGTCATAAATATTCTGCATAATACTCGCACCAACCAGCATGACGCACAAGGCGAGCGTTGCTACATAAGCCGGAAAGACCACGTTTGAGATACGTTTGATGTCGACGTGCATGCATTGGGAATACACATTTCACATAACTACTGAACAGACTGTACTATAAATATAGCAATACTAATGCTATATATATGTAATATACATGTGTGTATATGATATAAACACTACTATGCTACTTATACTGTTATAATATGCAATATAGATGTGTATATATGTCATACACAATTATATACTACGTATATGAATACTACTAATGTTATCTATATGTGATACAAATGTGTATAGATGATATACAAATTCGACAAAACTACCACACTCACTACACTACATATATGAGCACTACAAATGGTATATGTATGTAGAATACATGTGTATATATGGTATACACACTACGCTGACAAACTGTTTCGGGTTAGTGCTACTTACGGTTATGTACGAAGCTAACCCCGTTTTTTCTAGTGCGCCAGAGAGTGTAGTCCAAGGTAGTCCCGAATACAACTGACAGTGGAGAGGAGAAACAAAACAATGGCGTACGTTTATCAATGCGTTCAAGTGGATGGAAACATATGTAGGTATACACACTAACAGACGTACGACGAGACACAGACACAGGTACAGATATATACATAAACACACATATAGACACAGGCAGGTACATATACATAGACATGTGTAAAAACACATAAACAGGCACGGACATTGGCAAAGACACAAACACACGCACGCCTATATATATATATATGTGTGTGTGTGTGTGTGTGTGTGTGTGTGTGTGTGTATATACGTACGTAGTAGTATTAGTAGTTATTAG